CAGTGCACCTAGCTTACCAGTTCCACCTCAGATCACCACTCTGTTTAACACGCAGCACTTAGACATGTTTATAGTGAAAACAAGTTAAAATTTATTTAACAAAGTATAGAGATTTGAGAAGTAGCAAGCTGAAGTACTGGACACAAATGGTTACTTGTAAAATAAAATCCTAACACAGTCTAGAGCCTATACTTAATTACAAAGGTACTTTCCTCTCTAATGAAGTTTAGTTCACCCAAAGTCTTTGCAGCGTTTTCCAGTCAGGTTGTCTGTGACCTTCCTTTCACAAGACCGAACACACTGACAGTTTGTGTCCCCAGTGAAGGATGAAGGGCATCTCTCTGCACCCCAACTATCCATTGTCTTCACTCGTAAACATGGTCCCTCCCTGCTAGTTGTTTTCTCCTGTGTGCTCCTTTGTTGATTTTACAATCTCTTGATTAGCATTTGGCCTTCATTGTAAAGCAGACAATATACAAATAACCAGCCAGAAAGAGGTAAGTGTCCTTTCCCTCCTGCCTGACGGGGGCATGTTGATCACCTTCTGGTGACCTGCCTTAAGAATATAACTTTCAGTACAGATATATGATTCCTTAAACATTACCCATACATACATTTCAAAATGAGTATGATGAACAGTGGGCTACTGACTCTCAGTAGAGACATCACAAGCCACCCTTTGGTGAACTACTGTGCATATATTTGACCCAGGGGATCCTGGTAAAATTGTATGCGCCTGCATGCCTCTGCCAGTTAGCCCAAACAGGTTCCTCGGTGATAGAGGCCAGGATAGACCTTTGCACCAGTGATTCTGCACCCCTACAAAGCTATGCAGGGGCCTTAGAAGCAGCGATGCAAGTCAGGGGAGCCCTCAGGGGCTATTACCTAGTTAGGTAATCTTTTTCTCTGTCACTCAAGCTTCTTGATTATGTTTCTTGCTCTTCTCTAAGCTACTATCAGTTTTTCTATATCTTTCAGGTAAGGTGGCAAAATTTGCAGATGATACAAAACTACTCTAGATAGTTAAGTCCCAGGCAGACTGTGAAGAGCTACAAAAGGATCTCACAAAACTGGGTGACTGGGCAACAAAATGGCAGATGAAATTTAATGTTGATGAATGCAAAGTAATGCACATTGGAAAACATAATCCTAACTATACATATACAATGATGGGGTCTAAATTAGCTGTTACCGCTCAAGAAAGATCTTGGAGTCATTGTGGATAGTTCTCTGAAATCATCCACTCAATGTGCAGCGGCAGTCAAAAAAGTGAACAAAATGTTGGGAATCATCAAGAAAGGGATAGATCAGACAGAAAATATCGTATTGCCTCTATATAAATCCATGGTATGCCCACACCTTGAATAATGAGTGCAGATGTGGTCACCTAATCTAAAAAAAGATGTATCAGAATTGGAAAAGGTTCAGAAAAAGGGCAACAAAAATGATTAGGGGTATAGAACAGCTTCCGTATGAGGAGAGATTAATAAGACTAGGACTTTTCAGGTTGGAAAAGAGGCGACTAAGGGGGATATGATAGAGGTCTATAAAATCATGAGTGGTGTTGAGACAGTAAATAAGGAAGTGTTATTTACTCCTTCTCATAATACAAGAACAAGGGGCCACCAAATGAACTTAATAGGTAGCAGGTTTAAAAACAAACACAAGAAAGTATTTTTTCCATGCAACGCACTATCAACCTCTGGAACTCCTTGCCAGAGGGTTTTGTGAAGGCCATACTATAACGGGGTTCAAAAGGGAGCTAGATAGGTTCATGGAAGATAGGTCCATCAATGGCTATTAGCCAGGATGGGCAGGAATGGCATCCCTAGACTCTGTTTGCCAGAAGCTGGGGAGGGAGGGATAGCTCAGTGGTTTGAGCATTGGCCTGCTAAACCTAGGGTTGTGAGTTCAATCTTTGAGGCCACTTAGGGATCTGGGGCAAAATCAGTACTTGGTCCTGCCAGTGAAGGCAGGGGGCTGGACTCAATGACCTTTCAAGGTCCCTTCCAGCTCTAGGAGATGGGATATCTCCATTAATTCATTTTGGTTTTTTTTATTGTGTGACAGGGCATGGATCACTTGATTATAACCTGTCTGTTCAGTCCCTTTGGGGCACCTGCCATTGGCCACTGTCAGAGGACGGGATACTGGGCTTGATGGACCTTTGATCTGACCCAGTATGACCATTCTTATGTTCAGGTAATTACATGAGTTACACAGTAGAGCTGTAGAGGACTATCCCCTTCTTGTACCAAGTAATGCTCTTATGAATACAACTCAAAATGGCAATGACCAATCCACTACTAGAAACACCTCCATTCAGTGATGATTGTGAATTACTTATTGAGATCTGCCAGTTAGCCAGTTCTTAATCAACCATGTACATTAAAAAATAGCATCCTGGTTTATTAATATTGTAAAGTGCTGTGCAGTACTAAGTCAGTCAAACACCGTACAAAAGTCTATGTGATTACCTTTATCTATCAAACTTCTAATCTCATAACAAATTGAATCAAGTTTGTGTGTCAAGACCTAGTTTCTATAAAACCACATTGATTGGCATTAATTATATTCCTGTCTTTTAACTCTTTATTAATGAAATCCCATGTTAGTTTTTGTATCTTTTTACCTGGGACTGATGTCAGGCTATCATTACCTGGATTGTTCCACTTGGTCTTCTTGAATATCAACCCAACATTAGATCTCTTCCAGAATTTCCCCAGTATTCCAAGATTTACTAAAATGAATATCAGCCAGAGATCTCCTCAACCACCTCTTTTAGATTCTTGAATGCAAGTTATTTGGGCTTGTGCATTTAGAAATGCCTATACCTGGTAAATGTTGTTTAGCATCCTTTGTTACTAATGGACTGGAAAATGGTTCATCAGCCTCATCTGATATGACTAAATCATCATCCTTCTTTCAAAATACAGTACAGAAATATTAAATGTTGCTGCATAATTGCTAACAATTTTACTATCTCCATCTAGTAACAAACCTGTACCACTGCTATAATTTTTGTTCCTAATAAACCTAACTCTTTCACTTAGACCATCCAATGGGCTCCTCAAAACTCTTGGAGAGCTGAACTTTGGCATTTTATTTATTCTGGTTCAGAATGAATCATTTGCTGACACCCTGTCATTGTGACAATGGTAAAGAATTACAGAAAAAGAGTCACTTTCTTCTAACACTGAACAAAGAACTTTATTAGAATAAGAAATAATATTATCCCTAAAGACAGGTTTCAGGGTAGCAGCCGTGTTAGTCTGTATCCTCAAAAAGAAC